GCCACCCACACCCGGCCAAGATACTTGATTATTTTAAGGCATTCATCATCACCTCAGACTATTAACAATTGATTGGTTTAGGAATAAACATATATAATACAGAGGAAATTTTGAGTGGGGGCCAGGACATTGCACTTCTAGAAAAATGTATCTCCCTGTTTAAAAAGAATGCTGCCTTTCCTATTGCCAGGATATCATTGTCTGAAAATGACCCCTGAGACTCTGCTGTTTTGGAGTCCTCAAGATATCCAAGCAAAAAGGACTGGCCAACATGTTGGAAATGGCAAAGCAGAATTTCTGAAAATGATAAAGTAAATTAATTCTTGAATTCATTATCCTGGAACTCTTCTAGCCCCAAACTTTATGTTGTATGAAATAATTGATATCCTCATTGAGTAAAATTTTTGTTATTTTTTTTCTGTAACTTGAGAAAGAAAGCATCCTTACTGCTATATTCGCTAGCCCATTGTCTTATTTTTTTTTCTTCTTAGCACTTTTCTCATTGAGGCCAGGGACCTTAACTGTCTTGTTCATCACTATATATGCAGCACTCAGAATATAGCACTTGGGCCTAGTAGGTGCTCAGTAGATATTTTTATTTTTATTTGTTTATTTATTTTTCTTTGAGGTAGAGTTTTACTCTTGTTACCCAGGCTGAAGTACAGTGGCGTGATCTCATTTCACTGAAACCTCTGCCTGCTGAGTTCAAGCAATTCTCCTGCCTCAGCCTCCTGAGTAGCTGGTATTACAGGCACGGATGACCACACCCAGCTAATTTTTTTAAATATATATATATATTTATTGGAGATGGGGTTTCACCATGTTGGCCAAGCCAGTCTCAAACTCCTGACCTCAGGCAATCCGCCTGCCCTGGCTTCCCAAAGTGCTGGGATCACATGCATGAGCCACTTCACCCAGCCTGTAGATATTTTGAAATCAATGAATAAATGAGACAAAATCAATGTCTGAAGAAGCCTATAGTGTGTTTAAAAGAATTTAATTTTTTCACACATCCTTGCACATGCAATAGGTATAAGAATCCTTTAAACTATGTTAATATGCTTTTCTCTTTCATCTTTCTATGCCATGTAGTCTTCTCCCAATCAAGTATTTTCTTTGTAGGGGCTTAGGGTTGTTAAAAGAAAGAGAAAGAAGTGCCTGCTCAGAAGTGTTCTACAGAACAAAAGAAGGATATTTTTTAGTGTCTTGCAAGACAATTTTCTAGACTCCAGGTAGTTTTGAAAAAGAAAAGAATTTTCTAAATTTTTTAAACTGTCATTGGCATACTAAGATCCCAGGCTGCCCTCCTGATGTGCTCAGATCTGCAACAAAGTAAAGAAACCAAGAAAATGAGTCTTCCCACCTGTTGAGAGAGATGGGTTAGAGAAGTTTCTGGGGTAGGCAGCAGGGAGAGATTCTCGAAGCAGTTGAAAGATTATTGGAAAGGCTTCCATGTGATCCCCCCAGCACCGAAGGAGGTGGCTTGGGGAAATGGAAGGTTGATGTGAAAGTCAGAGAGGTTGAAGTCTTTCACAATGGGAGTTCAAATGTCTGGAATGAAGAGCTTTAGAGGGTTTCAGCATGATGCCATAAAGGGTTAAATCCCGTCTCTTTAGAAACATGATAAGAGAACTCGCAAGGCCATGAGAGCCAGCAAGAATCCAGAGGACAGTGCATAAATAAACCTGAGGTATACTCTAACCTGTGCCACGAATATGTATCTGACTTTTTTTTTTTTAAACAGAGTCTTGCTCTGTCTGTCAGCCAGGCTGGAGTGCAGTGGCATGATATTGGCTCCCTGCAACCTCTGCCTCCCAAGTTCAAAGCAAGTCTTGTGCCTCAGACTCTCAGACTCCCAAGTAGCTAGAATTACAGGTACTCACCACCACGCCTGCCTAATTTTTGTATTTTTAGTAGAGATGGGGTACTGCCATGTTGTCAGGCTGGTCTTGAACTCCTGGCCTCAAGTGATCTGCCCACCTCAGACTCCCAAAGAGCTGGGATTACAGGCATGGGCCACAATGCCCACTCGTATATCTCACTTTTGAGTTCAAAACCATACCCAATTGCCTGATCAATATTTCTACTTGGATGACAAATTGAAGTCTTAAGATTCACATACTGCATCAGTTGGCATACCTAAAATAGAAATCTTGTTCTATTTCTCCCTCCAAACCTACTCCTTCTCCTTTCTTGTCTATCTCAATAAATGTTCACTTTGGCCAATGGTTCAGCTCACATTCTTTGGCATCAGCTTTGACTTTACTCTTAGGCTAATAATTTCAACAAGTTTGACTATCTCTAAGTTCAAAATATATTCAAAATCTGGTTGGTTTTCACTCATCTCTACTATGTCCACTTTAAGCCACTATCATTTCTTGCCTGGATAACTGTAATAGCTTCTTAACTGGTCTTTTACAGTAAAAGCCATATCATATCTGTTTGCTACTTAAACCTTATAATAGTTTCACAATGAATTCACAATAATATCCAAGCCTCTCTTATGGCCTTGGAGGCCCAACTTCATCTGATTCCTCTATAACTCTCTGATGCACCCACCAATTACTCCCATTCATTCTTCAAGTCTTGGTTAAACTTTTTCCCTTCTTTTCTAATACCAGCATCCTTCATTCTCCATATTCCCATTGATCTTGAATGTCAATCAATTATATATAATTAATTGCCATACCTGTTGCATATGCTTTCCTATATTGGACTTATTTCAGCACCTTAAAGTGGCACATACTTGCTTGGTCTGGAAAACTGCCTTCTTCTCTCCTGGTGCTTCTCTATTTTGCAAGTATAACTCCTGTTTCTCAATCAGTCGTTGGCCTAAAATCCTTCTGGAAAACTTTTCTAGTCTCCTAAGATTAACTAGTGTCCCTGTAAACACCCCCTCATCACACTCATCACACTTTGATTGAGTACTTATTTGCATGCCATTTGCCTCACTCTGAAAGAGTGAATGAATATCATCTATCTGCTAGACCTGTGCTGTCCAACATAGCAGTCACTAACCACATGTGAGTAATGAGCATTTGCAAGGATCACATCCAAACTGAGATGTGCTATAACTGTAAAATATGAACAGGATTTCCAAAACACTGCCAGAAAGAAAGAATATAAAGCATCACAATAATAATTTTTATATTGGTTCCATGTTGAAATGATCAGATCTTATATATATTGAGATAAATATAGTCAGTCTTCCATATTCATGGGTTCTACATCCATGGATTTAATGAACTGTGGATCTAAAATATCTGTAGTGAACACGTCCAGACATTTTTTCCTTAAGATTGTTCCTTAAACAACATAGTATAGCAACTATTTACATGGCATTTACATTCTGTTAGGTCTTATAAGTAAATAGACATAATTTAAAGTGTATAGGAAGAGGCTGGGCATAATGGCTCAGGCCTGTAATCCCAGCACTTTGAGAGGTGAAAGTCTGAGGATCATTTGAGGCCAGGAGTTCAAGACCAGACTGGGCAACATGGCAAAACCCCGTCTCCACTAAAAATAGAAAACTTAGCCAGGCATGGTGGTGCATGCCTATAATCTCAGCTACTTGGGTAGCTGAGGCAGGACAATTGCTTGAGCCCAGGTAGTGGAGGTTGCTGTGAGCTGAAATCACACCAGTACACTCCAGCCTGGGTGACAGTGAAAAACTCTGTTTAAAAAATAAATTAAAAAAAAAAAGTATATAGGAGGATATGCATAGGTTATGTGCAAATACTTTGGAACTTGAGCATCTGTGGATTTTGGTATCTGTGGGAGGTCCTGGAACTAAGCTCCCATGGATACTGAGGGACAATTAACCATATATGAGTAAAAGTTATTTTACTTTTTTCTGCTTATTCTTTTTAACCTGACATTAGAAAATCAAATATTTCTTATGTGCCACACATCATATTTTTATCAGACAGCACTTCAGTAGGTCATGGTCTTCAGGAGTAGTGTGAACATATTGTATTGATTCTCTAACACTTTATGGCCTCAAAAATGTGTACTAGATGAATAAATTAATAAATGGCAAGTAAGCAGTAGAAAAATAGCTGCATCATTTAATTAGCAACAAGTGAAGAAATTTGCAGAGGTTGTATGTACTAATTTATCAAAGTGATTTTAGATCTGTCATAAAAACATCCTCTTTTTTATGCTTATAAATGTAGAAATCAGGAAAAAAACTAGACTGAAAACCTTATCATCATAAAGCTTTGACTCTAAAAACATATATGTGTATATATATGTATATGTATGTGTGTGTGTGTGTGTGTGTGTGTGTGTGTGTGTATATATATGTATATACACACACAGAGTCAGTATATATATATATATATATATATATACTCTGCTTTAATAAATCTTTTGGATTTTCATTTGAATCTGTTTGGGGGCAATTCTGAATGTGCCTGTCATAGGCAGATGCTTCTGTTCTCTAAGACTAGAGACATAGGAATCAGTAGGTGGTGGTGCAGATGGCAAAGAGAGGGTGGGGTGACATTTCAAACTGTGGGCGGGACTAATGCAAATTTGGCAGCCCAAATGGAATTTCTGTGGGCCTGACAATTTTTGCAAGACTTCTTGCTTCCCAAGCAATCTACATCTATCCACCCCCCTACACACATATAAATATATGTATTTATATGTGTGTGTATATATATATATGTGTATTTGTGTATATATATGTGTGTGTGTACATATATATATATATAATATATATATAGAAAGAGAGAAAAGATAGACCTAAACCCTCTCCATTGGGAATTTTGTATGTTGCAATTATCAAAGACCAAAAGAGTCTCTCTCAAAATTTTGCTTATGGTATCAAACTTTATACTTCTAACATAGAAAAATAAGGGAATTTCTGTCTAAAGTGATCTTAAATATAGTGAAATATATTTGTTTTTCATTGTGCATTTAATTATTAGAAACATGTAAGTATGTACATATAGTTTTTTTTAAAAAATGCAAATTATTTAATCTGATTTTTTTAGCTCTTACCATTGGAATTGCACAGCCACAGAACACGAACTGCCTGAGACAAGTCAGCCTCCACACCAAGCTCTGCCAGTATGACTCAATACCATTCTCAAGATACCAAGGCAGAGGAATTTAATCTCTGTATCCTTGGTCTCTAACCTTCCAGAAGAGAATCTCCTTCAGCTTGTCAACATCTTCATCTCCTTTAGCATGTCAACATCTTCAACATCTCAGGTCAAAAGAGATGATATGTTTTCAGTCATCTAGCTGTAATAGCTCACTGTGTTAGAGCTTTTTTTTTTGAAGGTTCGTCAGCATGTAAGGCCCAATTATGTTACTGAAACGCTTTGCAAACTATTACTTTCAATGTTCTCCTCTACCAAAGTTGTAATAAGATTAGAAGATTTAAAGAAGAAACTGTTAACTGACTGTGATAAAAAACAATGCATTTTTCAGGACCACCAAAATGTTATAGACCCTTATGTCCTGAATTCCAAGTAGATTACATTTTAAGTTTTTGCTGGGCAGACAAAATAAAAAAGAGAGAGAGATTATTTCGTGCAAATGAGTCTCTGGAGTAACCAAATTCTTATATATTGCTAGTTGGGATGTAGACCATGATCGTTACCATAGAAAATAATCTAGTATTATTAATATTTAGTAAAGTTGAGAATGCCCAACTATCCAACAATTCATTCTTAGGATTGTATCCCAAGGGAAATCTCAAACATGTGAACCAACAAATAGATATAAGAATGTTCACAGAAATACTGTTGATGACAGCATAGAATTAGGGGCTACAAAAAGACCTATCAGCAATAAAATTAATAAAAAGAACTGTGGTGAATTTGTACATTGAAATGCTAGAAAGCAATAAAAATGAATGATATACAGTTAATATTGGCATATTGAAATCACAAGATAGAGGTGAAAACAAGACATGAAAGATTATAAACAATGAAATTTTACTTACACAAAGCTTTAAAACATGCAACATGAAACAGTGTGCATCGATTAGAAATATAGCCAAAGGGGATAAAAATGTTTGTGTATTTTAAAAATAGTGATCATGAAAACTTCAAGATATTAGTGAATTTATGGGAAATGAAGGGAGATGATGATGGAACCAGGACAAGGCAAGCCAGGGCTTCCCAGGTGTGCTGGTAATGCTCTATTTTCTAAACTGTGTGGTAGATATAGAAGTGCCTGATTTATGACTACTTATTATACCTTATAATCTGTTATAAGTATTATTTTATATGCATCAAATATTATACTTAAAAACAGAGTTATAAAGAAGAGAGAGGAAGGAAGGGAGAGAGAAAGAAAGGAAAGACATGGAAAAATTAAAAAGGAAAATAATGACTAAGAATGAAATAGCTAAGAAGTCTCAGCAAAATGGAAATCCCAAAGGGAAAGTTGCAGAAAACAGAAAAATGTTGATCATAATGGTATTAACCACAACATTAAAATGATGATGAAGATGATGATGATGGTGATGTCACAGTATCTAACAATCATGGAGTGGTTGTTATTTTCCAGATAATATTTTTAGTTTATTAACTCATCTAAACATTACAATAACTTTGTGGGATAGGTTTCACTGTTATTTTCACTTTTTACATTACTAAACTGAAGCATATAAAATTCCAATAAACTTGAAAATGTTACACATTTGGTAAGTAGCAGAGCAGAAATATTAATTCCATTCCAGACAGGCTGATTGCTTAACACCATGCTATCTAAAGTGTCCAAGAATCATCACCCCCTAATAATGAGTGATTGATTTTTCCTACCCTATCCATCAAAGCCTCCATGAATCACCCTCAGTCTTTCCTAGAGTATAACTACATTGTTTATGGGGATTTTACTGTTGTTTCAGGAGTTATATAATTAATTAAAAGTCCATCGGATTCTCTACTTTTACTTTTGAAGAAATTCTGCGGTTTCCTGCTTCTCTCAGGAGTAATCATCCTTTATAAAATACTGAGCTTGGAACCTGTAGCAGAGGTATTGTGTCACTTTTATTAAATGTGTTTTCACATATGACTGTTCTTCAGTTGCATCATATTCTTTCCAAAGAAACAATAAGTCTTATGTGGTGCATAGGATTTTCCATGCATCATATAATATTTCTTTAAAGAATAAAATTGGGTAATACCATCTTCCATATTTTTTAGTTCAGTCTTCATTGAAAACTGACAGAGAGCAGTGCCAAGGTTAGATATTTGTACACAGGGACAATTACATACTTAAACAGGAAAATTTTCAGAAACTACATATTTCTCCAAAATATCATTATATTCTGTAACTGTCTCTTTTTTCTCATTTCATTGTGATGATCTTATTCTATGGAATTGTATATGCTTATTAATATTTTATTGTTCTAGTTAATACAAGTCATCATAAAACAAAGTTATATATGACTCACCAAGTTGGAAAAAAAAAAAAAAAGATCAGAATAATCATTGAAGCTGAGTCATCTTCCTTTAATTACTCTGCTCCTTGATCTCACTTCCTGGGACAGTACTGGTGACTTCCTTCGCTGTTCAACTTTTTGTAGAACCATAATCCTTACCTAAAAGTTTGAGTGATGATGTAAAAAGATCTAAAGGGTTTTCCAGAGCAAGGCTATAGTGGAAATATCACAGACTTCCAATCAGTGACCTCGGTTTATTTCCAGCTGCTGTTTAGTAGCTGTGCTTTCCTTTTTTTTTTTTTTTTTGAGACGGAGTTTCACTCTTGTTACCCAGGCTGGAGTGCAATGGCGTGATCTCGGCTCACCGCAACGTCCGCCTCCTGGGCTCAGGCAATTCTCCTGCCTCAGCCTCCTGAGTAGCTGGGATTACAGGCACGCGCCACCATGCCCAGCTAATTTTTTGTATTTTTAATAGAGACGGGGTTTCACCATGTTGACCAGGATGGTCTCGATCTCTTGACCTCGTGATCCACCTGCCTTGGCCTCCCAAAGTGCTGGGATTACAGGCTTGAGCCACCGCGCCCGGCTAGCTGTGCCTTCTTAAACAAGTTTCTTAATTTCTCTTTGGCTCTCATCAACTTACTTAAATTTAGCTTCAATTTTCTTACTTATATAAAGGAAATAAGATCTCTTTACAAGATGGTTTTGACAATTCAATGAGATGAAATATATGAAACATGCAATACAGTGCCTGATACTAGTAAGTGCTTGACAATTATTAGTTTCCTTCTCTATTGTGACCACAGTTAAAATGTTTTACCCCTATTATGACTATGTGCGGCATCAACTTTTCTAACATTATCTGGATTTGTCCACAACGAAGGACAAAATATTGTTTCAGTATATATGAGCAGTATCAAATTCCCAGGTCCTCACCTGGGCAAACTTCAGACACCCACAGATTTGATCACTGAAAGCTGAGTGTGGTGGCTCATGCCTGTAATCCCAGCACTTTGGAAGATCAAGGTGGGAGAATCACTTGAGCCTATGCTTGCGCCTATGTTCCAGACCAGCCTAGGCAGTATAGCAAGACTTCATCTCTACAGTGAAAAAATCAGCCCAGTGTGGTGGTGTACACCTATAGTCCCAGCTACTCAGGAGGCTGTGGCAGGAGGATCACTTGAGCCCAGGAGTTCAAGGCTGCACTGAGCTATAATTGTGCCACTGCATTCCAGCCTGGGCAGTAGAATGGAGACTCTAGATTTGATCACTGATCATTGGACCTTGTCCAGTAATTTTAGTCTTGTCTACATTCCAACAATCACTGGTTGGAGGTATTATATTTTTACAAGGATCTAATTTAACACGTAGAGAGGATCAAATCAGACTTGCTTGTGGTGGTGCTCTGAACTTGGGTCACAGTTATGCCAAATGTTCTTCTGTTGTGTTTTAATACATTTTACTCCTAGTTATGGTGACCTCCCACTCTTCTTCTTCCCCCAATCCCCATCCATTCTCCTCAGAATTGCAAAGATAAACTTTTAATTATGCATATTTGATCCTGTCATTTCCTTAAGTCCCCTAAAGCTTTTCATTACCTGAAGATAAAATCTAAAATCCTAAATATGATCTCCAAGATTCTGAATAACTTTGCCTATTTCTTCCTTTTGCGGTCTTATTTTGAATCATTCCTCTTATTATTATTATTATAATTGTTGTTATTTTATTATTAACTAAAGTCTAATAACACTGGTTTTTAAATGTTTTTTTCTTGAATTTGACAAATGCTTACTTGTCTGGCTATTTTTTTTCCTTGGAACTAGGAAAAATTGTCTCATTGGTATTTAGAGTCAACTATAATGGGCTTAAGTATGGTTTACTCTTTATTTATACTGAATTTTACAGTACTTCCCAAATTTCTGACCTGGCATCTTTCATCAGTTTTAGAAATTCTCAACCATTCTCTCCACTGCTGTGCCATTCTCTCATCTCTTTTCAAGACACCAATTACACGTATGTTAGACCTTTTCATTCTTTCCAACAGGTTTATCACATGCTTTTCTGTATTTTTCTTTTTTTCTCTCCATAGTATAGTATAGTATGTTTTCCATAGACAGATATTCAAATTTCCTACTCTTTTTCAAGGCCAATCTGCTGTTAAATATAGCTATTTCTTTAGCCCTAAAAGTTCTATTAGATTTTTAAAACTAGTTTTCCACTCTCTGGCTAAATTTTCCTCCTTTTTATTTTTGGTCCATATTTGTATCTCATTTCTTGAACATCTTAATTACAATTATTTTGATGTCCTTGTCTGCTATTTTCACTAATATTCCTGTAAGTCCATTTTGTTTTCTTATGTTTTCTAAAAGTTTGATTGTATAATTCTGGTTTTTGACATGTTTAAGAATGTGTGACTAACTGCTAGACATTAGACATACAAAATCAATAGAGGTTTCAAATTATATTATCCTACCCTTTCTTTCTCCAGGAAGATATACTGAGGCTGATGTCCTTAGTATGATCAGTGACTTCTGGGTTAAGATTTTGAAAATACTTAGTCTACTTCTGGATTTCTTTTTGCTGAGGGCATACACTCTAGGGAGTCAGAAGAATAGAATTGGGAGGCAGGGAACCTAAGGCCGATTCATTCTGACTTCCTAGAAGTAAATCAAAAAGAAAACCCCAACTTTCCATGCCCAAGGAACAAAAGAACAGAGGCTATCTGCCTTGCAACTCTTCCCTTTCTGCATGGCAGATGAGAAACAGCACCTCTGACTGGTCCCTTCCTGCAACAAATCAGTCTGGTCAGGGGGCTAGTCTTCATTTGCATAGGGGTGTAACTTTGTACCTTCACTTCAGCCTCTGATTGGTTGCCTTCCACAACCAATCAGACTGGTCATGGGAACTCCTTCATTTACATAGGGTGTAAACCAAGTAACCCATGGGAAACCTCTAAAGGGTATTTAAACTCCAGAAAATTTTGTAACCAGTGCTCTTGAGCCACTTGCTTGAGTCCACTCCCACTCTATGGAGTGTACTTTTGTTTAAATAAATCTGTGCTTTCATTGCTTCATTCTTTCATTGCTTTGTTTGCGCATTTTGTCCAATTCTTTGTTCAAAATGCCAAGAACCTGCACAACTCGTAGTCAAGACCCCCCACTGGTAACACAAGAGTTTTTAAAAGTATATCTTAGCTCTTTTCATGAAAGGTCTAGGACTCCAATCCTTGTCCCCCACCATGGCAAAACTATGAAAAATTTTGCTATGCTTTTTAGAAACTTTCTTCTTAACCTGTTAAACTGACCATGTGTCCGGTACAACTCTCCAAGCCTCTCTTCTTTCAGGATCTTTGTCCCACAGGTTTCCTTCTTTTGTTTTTTTCTTTTATTTCAGCCTTGTAAGACCACTGAAATCTCTCCTGATAGCTCTTTCCTCTAGCAGTGACCTTTTGCCCAGGCAAAGCCATATTCTCAGAACTTTGCTTAGGAATGTTAGCTCACATCTTTATAGTTCTTTCTCCAAACCTCTGGACCGTTTACCTTCATTGAGTTAGCAGAACTTCGATGCCTTTAAATATTTTATGTGACTTTTCTGGTTGTTCTCAAAATAAACTTTGGTCTGCTGCAAGCTAATTCATTTGATCATAATAAAAAATCTGCTCAGCTTCACATGATTTTTCTTTTATTGGAATGTTTTTTACCCCACTCTTCACCTCACTGTTATTCTTCTTCTGGAAATCTTTATTCAAGAAACAATTTACTAATTCTTCAATCAATATTAAGTTTTGCTGTTGAACTGTTTCCTAGTACCTGATACTTTTCTTTATAGCACTTCTCAATTTTTGTACTTAATTGGGTTATTTACTTAATCCTTTTTCTCAACCAGATTTTAAGGTCCCTGAAGATAGGGACCATTGTACTTGGTATGCATGTGCATGTGTGTGTGTGCTGTGTGTCTTTGTGTGTGTGTGTGTGTGTGTGTGTGTGTGTGTGTGTGTGTGATTTCCTAGGGCCACAGGATTGATGGAATCTTTTTTCCATGATCAGTGACTTCCATGATCAGTCAAGGTTTTGATATTATTTTGTCTGCTCCTGGATTTCTCCCTTGCTGAGGGCATACACTATAGGCCTTTTATTTTATTTTTTGAAACAAAGTCTTGCTCTATTGTCCATGCTTGAGTGCAGTGGCCCGATCTCGCCTCACTGCTATCTCCACCTCCTGGGTTCATGTGATTATCATGCCTCAGTCTCCCACGTAGCTGAGACTATAGGTGCATGCCACCATGCCAGGCTAATTTTTATATTTTTAGAAAAGACAGCATCCTGCCATGTTGGCCAAACTGGTCTCGAACTCCAGGCTTCAAGTTTTCCACCCACCTCAGCCTCTCAAAGTGCTGGGATTACAGGTGTAAGCCACTGCACTCTGCCACTCTAGGGCTTTTAAATGTATGCCTTAGCTCTTTTCATTAAAGGTCCAACATGGACCTTTGTCTCCACAGCATGGAGAAACTACTGAAAATTTTACTATGCTTTCAGCATAACAAACATCTGGATGTATCTTCCCATCGTCCTATTAATAGAGTGAGAAGTAAATGCCCATTTTGTTGAGCCATTGAAACACACAGGTTTATCTGTAACAATTTATCTGTAACAATTTCTGTCTTCTCAAACTAATACAGAAATTAATTCCTTGAACTGAATGCTATCTGAACAAAAACCTAAAGTATGTGGTACTGGTTCAATGG